CATAGATACCTGTGTGTTGCTCCTGGTCTCATAAGATGCTCTCTTCATCCTTATTGTTCTGTACTTTCACTTTGTTATAACCAGGTGTTTATTTATATATTTATTTATTGAGACAGAGTCTCACTCTGATTCCCAGGCTAGAGTGCAGTGGAGTCACCACAGCTCACTGCAACCTCAGACTCCTGGGCTCAACTGATGCTCTTGCCTCAGCCCCCCGGAGCAGCTGGGACTACAGGCGTGTGCCACCATGCCCGGCTAATTTTCTCTGTTTTTGGTAGAGACAGGGTCTCACTCTTGCTCAGGCTGGTCTTGAACTCCTGAACTCAAGTGATCCTCCCGCCTCGGCTTCCCAGGGTGCTAGGATTACAGGTGTGAGCCACCGCACCCGGCCTCCAATTTATATTTTTTTATTGTGTTTGCTTTATTGGTATTTTCGTTTTCTCACACAGCACTTCTCTGTTATTCCCTCGACTCCCTACTGCTACAGGGGCAGTCATGACACATGTGGCGGACTTACCGCTTCTCCATGGCTCATAAGTTGTTTCACATTTTCCATCTCTTCATTGTTTTGAGTTCATTGTCAACTCAATAACATCTATGCCTGTGTGCAGATTACCTTTGAGCTGATTGCTTCTAAATGATTGTTACTGCTGGAACAAATTACAACAAATTCTGTGACTTAAAATAACACAAATTTCTTCTTTAAAAGTTCTGGAGGCCAGAAGTCTAAAAACAGTTTGGTAGGCTAAAGTCAGGGTGTCTTTAGGGCTGATTTCTTCCAAATGTTCTAGGTAAGAATCAATTCTCTTCCCCTTTTCAGCTTCTAGAAGCTAGCGGCAGATTCCTCTAGAGCCTGTATTCTTGCAACAGAATAAAATAATTAATTACCCACCCCCACTTAATTTCTGTAAGTCATAAAGGAAAAGATTCAAAAAGCCAAAAGTCACGTATCAGATGGAAGCATTTTTTACACAGTTCATTTATTTTCTATTTACAATCACATTAAGGTATAATCAGATGTACCTACACTATTTCTTCACTTGCTAGAGAGGTAAGTCTTCCTGGGTTGTTTTCAAAGTCCAAGCAGAGCTGAGGGAGCCCATCCCCCAAAGAAGAGAAGCTGAGAAAGGATCAGTCACTGCTTCTCTCCTCAGGAAATGCAAGTTCACTGGTGACCCCAGTGAGCCCCACGTCCCCAGATTCACGCCCTTGGGTAGTCCACCCCCACCTTGACCCCGTACGCCCTACTTAGGCAAATTGGACATTAGCAAGACTGATATAAGCAGAGGCTTGAGAGGTGTTTGTGAATTGAGTCTTATTCCTTTAGAATGTTCCCTCTTGGGTCCAGTCTCCAGGTTGTAAAGAAACTTGGACTAGACTCCTGAGTCGTGGGAAACTGTAGAGATGAATCTTGAATTTGAAGTGTCCTCACCTGAGCTCCCAGCTCCATGCAAATGCAGGCGTGACATTGGCAACTCCACATGCAGCCGAAAAACTGCCCACATAACCACAGTTAATACCACTGGCTTTCAAGAAGCAATAAATAATTGCTATTTCACGCCACTAAGTTGTGAAGTAGTTTGTTATGCAGCAATAGGTAATAGAAATATCCACTAGCAGTATTCTATTCAATAGCAACATTTTCTTTCTCAATCAGGACATGCCGAGTCAGGTCTAAGTGAGATATTAGAACAGGACAATCGTGTTCTCACGTCAGTTAATGCAAGTTAAGCAGACTAGAGAAGATTCCATGTTTTAATTTCTTCCCTTTGTTAAACTCATACAAACTACCTCATGCAATTATGATTTGCTTACATTTCTTTGTGTCATACACTCCCAGTGCCTGTCCACTGTGTCTGTATGTTCCCATTTTACATGCCAAATAGGTAAGCTTTTGCTCTTTTAGGCAGAGTTGTTCTTTGCTGGAAAATTTCACCCCTTGTTTTTTCTTCTGGATTGGGAACAGATAGGTACAGTCCTCACTAAGTCATAGAAACCCTTCTGTTTTTTCCATTGTGAAAAGTAAAATGAAAGCAGGGGATATTTCCTTCAAGCTCAGCAACCATATAATACAGGAAATAGCAACCCTGATTCTGCTATAGGAATGGGTATGTTCTGGCTATCGCTCAGAGACTGTCATTCGGAAGTATCACATTTGTCATTAATATGTTTTTGTATCAATGGTAGGTTTACATAATAGACAACCCTGTAGACTCTCCTTGCTGGATTAACAGGCTCCAGCGTGCAAGACGAGAGATTTCCATGTCAGGAAGTTCCATATTCACATGACCTATGAACTAAAATAGCACACTGCTCCTTTTGGGTGATATTCCATCCCCTAGGTAGTATCATTTTATTAAGCCAACAAAGTGCTATTATAGGATCTTCATAACCTTGTAGGCCATTGTCCTTCCAGGAGCACTGATAGTAAGTATAGCTGCTTTAATTAAAAAACCAAAAATGCCAGACAGTGTTAAAATTTTCCATTATTTAACCGTATCAGTCTAGTGAACCAATATGGCACTGATTGTTTCTTAGAGCAAATCCAGAGAAGTGCATAGGACCTGCAGTGTGTAGGAATCTAAGGCTCTTGGGCTGAGCAGTGAAATGGACCTACTTTGTCTTACGTACTGACACATCAGGAAGCTTAATTACAGAGGAAAAATTAATGGTTGAGTGTCCAGGTCTGGATCTATAGCCAGGATTGGGGGCTATACAGGAAAGAAAGTTTTGTAAAGTTTTCTTAATTTCATCTGTGGAATGGCTTTAATCCTGCCACAATTTAGTAGCAGTCAGTATTTTTCTGGGTCTATCTCTCTGGATTCTATGTTTTGGATTCTTTATAAATTCTGATGGAGTCGAAACATCATATTCGGAAAACATATTAGCGTCCTTTTCTGTGCCCCAAGGTTGCCGTAACAAAGTACCATAAACTCGGGGGCTTAAAATGGCAGGCATTAATTGTCTCACAGTTCTAGAAACTAGAAGTTTGGCAGATCCATGCTGTCTCGAAGAAGTGGGAGGGAATCGGACCCTTGCCCTTCTCTGAGCTTCTGGTGCCAGCAGCAGTCTCTGGCGTGCTGCGGCTTGTGGCGGCCCAACCCCCAACTCCGCTTCCATAGTCATGCGGCCTTCTCTCCATGCTCTGGTTTCACATGGCCTCTGTGTGACCTCATCTCGATTTAACTGATTACATCTACAACGACCTTCTTTGTCAGTAAGGTCACATTCTGAGGTACAGGGGTTAGGATGTCAACTTATCTTTTTGAGGGGGCACAATTCCACCTGTAATACCTCTCTAGCAGACAGTGAAGGAGAATTCCTGGTCCCCACACCAAAAAAATCCCCTGGCTATACATCTATACATGCAAATTCATCTATACCTCTATACATATAAATTCCAATTTATAATATTATAAGGCAGACTAATGACTACTTTGTGTGTGTGTGTGTGTGTGTGTGTGTGTGTGTGTGTATTGCAATATGGAAATAATACTGTGCTTGGTGCTAACCACAATTGGCACAACCACCTGTTTTAGACACACCTGATTGCATCTTTTATAATTCAAAAGTAAATTATAGGTACTATCTGCCATAAAGGACTGGCCAATCTAATTAGCGAAAGGTGTTAAATACTACATAGACCATGCCCAGGCCCTTCCACTCAATATCCTTTTGAGTCCTTGAGCAATTCTCCTGGAATGCAGTAGTGTCTGGCATTCTCACATGTGGCGTGGAGATGGCTTTTGGCATGCCCATTTCTAAGTGCCTTGCAACATATGACTCTACTCATAAAGTAGTGTAACTATATTGGACATCTGCGGGACCAAGAGAGGGCTGCACTGGCTTTCAACTGTTTTTCTCATCAGCCCTTAACACGACATCCTTTTTTAGAAAATGATTTGTCAATTTGAGGGAACAGAAGAAGAAGTGCTTTGTTTTCACTTCAATGAAAGTTGGAGCATGGCTGTGAACTGGATAGTAGATAGATGCATGGAAATCTCCCTTCTAACCTCCCTAACCCTGTTTTTGCAGTTTTGCATGGTTAGACACTCGTTTTGGGGTCAACTTTCATGCTTCTAATTCACTGATATAAAGTTTATTAAGTTTTCTTACCATTTAAACCTAATTAAGCTGTCTTCCCTCTTTCATTCCTCCATCACGTCTCTCTGTACAGTCTTGTCTTTTACAATCATATTTGATTGAACACTGAAGCCAGAATGGGGATTTCTTAGCAAAGTTCAGATAGGTTTCCAATTGCTTGTTAATTAGCCTCTGATATCCTCTCTTCTGAAACTTCTCATTCATCATGGCATATTTTTTTGTACAGTAAAGATTAAATAAATTTGACCGAAGGCCTAGAAAGGAAGCAAGGGGAAGAGGCTGACCTCTCAGTCTTAGCAGCGACCAGTTACAAATCCAGAGGCTGAAAGACCTCTAAATAGGTGTCCCAGTTTCTAAATAGAACATTCTCTGTTGGGATTTACTCTCATAATAAAAGGTTACTCTTACTTTCCTAACTACCTCACTTCAAAGGTGGAAAATATTGCTTTTAGTTAAATCGTATCTTACATACTCAACTCTCTTTTTATATTTGTTACGAGTGGTTCAGCAACGGCAAGACAATTAGTCACTTCCCATGGCCACATTTCGATACTCTTTTCAAGAACCCGATTAGTATTGTCAAATTTGTTTCATTAAACTCTACTTCCTTAGAATCAGTTCTATTTTGCAGGTGTATTATGTTATGATCTCAATCTCTAAGCCCCAATATATGAAACATTCAAAATTTTAATTATAGAACTTTTTTTAAAAATTCCAAGTCTGACTCTATAGTTGCTTAATAGAAAGTGTATGCATTTTATTCAAGCTTTCCCCAAATATTGCTCCTAGAAGTTTTCTTCTACAAGGGCAAATTGAACAATTTTTTTGGATTTTTGGAGCATCTTTTCAGAGCACATCGCATTTTTTTTTTTTTTTTTTTGGAGCACATGGGTCTTTTATTTGGTTTGGTTTGGTTTTGCCAGACTTGGTTTAGGGAGTGGTAGCTGATGGACAGAAAAGCCGGGAAGGAACCATGCAGAGATGGTGGGCTGGAGGGAGGAGGTTCCAGCATGAAAACTAGAGCCTGGGCAGAGAGGAGCGGAGGGCCTCCGAGGTCTCCCCTGGGCCCTGAGGGTAAATGGCAGCAGGAGCCAGGTCTGTGGAGGCACAAGGGCTGTGCAGGGCCTGGGAGAGCCAGCAGCCCCCAGGCGCTGGGGCTGAGAGCCAGTGAGAGGAGGAGCAGATGTAGGGGCAGGAAGAGGAGTGAGTCTCTGATTTCGTTGATCCAGTCAGCGAAGTAGGTCACCCTGGTGAAGATGCTGGGGTGGGCGGGATGTCGGCAGTCCAGGCCCCAGCTGGCCAGCCCCACCAGGACCCAGGCACTGGGGACATAGCAGACCAGGGGCCCTCCAGAATCGCTTTGGCAGATGGATTTTCCTGTCAAAAAGTCTCCTGCACACACCATATCCTCATGCACAGAGTAAGTATTGCCTTTGCCAGTAATCTGACCATATAACAAATTACAGAACATGTTCTCAATGAGGATCACCCTACCCTCCTGGAGACTGAAGGGTGGTAATAGACGCACATCCTCGGTGAGCATTCCCCAGCCAGTTATCCAACAGGACACGTTACTGGGCAGCTGCATGTCTGGGGATGGGAGGCAGACTGGGACAACGTAGAAAGTGAAGTTGACAGGCAGGTCCAGCTGTAACATGGCAATGTCACTCCCAAAGGGGTGCAACTTCTCAAAGTCTGGGTGCGTGATAATCCGGTTCACAGAAATCTTCTGGGTGTGCTGGGTTTGCTGATACAGTTGAGTGTGTCCCAACAGAACCTAATAGTTCTCCAGGGCCTGGGATTTTTTGAGAAAGCAGTGGGCAGCTGAAACCAGCCAGTGGGAGTCGATGAGGACGGCTCCACAGAGGTGCGAGCCCTTGTACAGCAGGCTGGCCTGCCACGGCCACTGACCAGCCTCAGCGTCCTGGCCACCATATATCTTCCCCATCACCTCGGGCTTCCCGCACACTCTGTTGATGTCGTCTCTGGGGCTATCCTCTGCTTCAGATGGACCTTGGGCTCGGACTGCAGAGCCCAGGGGCCTGCCAGCTGCCTGCTGCCGGCCCTCCTGTGCCTCCAGGAGTCCTCGGGCCTCACGTGGAATCTGGGAGGGGCTGGGGCTGCGGGACGGCGGGGTGGGCGCAGCCTCCAAGCTCAGGAGCAGATGCAGCAGTGGCAGCGGCCAGAGGAGGGGGGCCGGCCGCCGGCCTTGGGTCCTCGCCGCCCCTGCAACCATGGCTGGACGCCAGACTGGCAGAGCACATCACATTTTAAATATAACAAAACAGAAACACACACACATACACAAAGGCCAGACAGGGAAAAGGCAAGAACTCCATTGTTACTAATTACATTTCAAAGAAACACTTTTAATTCACAACAAGGCAAAATTCACATTTACTCAAGAGCCTCACGACTCTGGATTCACTCACGGCCTTCCTGGATGAGTTATCTGTTGGCACAGAACTTACTTCCTTGAACTCAGTTCCTCAAAGCAACACGCATTTTCTCACAGTACGTGAGTCGGGAGCCTGGGCTGGGCTGTGTTCTACGTGGAGTGTCCCAAAGCTGCAGTCAGGGTGACAACTGGCTGCATTCTCAGCCGGACGCTTAGCTCGGGAGAAGCCCCCTCCTTTGACATGCTCTGCTCCTCGCTGGACCGCAGTGAAAGGTCCTTCCGGCACTCAGGGGAGGGGTCTACAAAGGCGCAGACAGCCAGAGCTATGGGCCAGGGGCACTTCGGAGCCTGCCCGCCGCACTTGCCACCGGGGCACAGACACCAGGACACCTGAATACTTTGGGAGGACTTGCGGCCAAATATCAAAAATCAGATCTTCAGCAAGCCAACGAGTGATAGATTCTTCTCATAAGAAAGTAAGGAAACGTTTCAGAACTGTATAAGACACACATCTGTCAAAAGGTTTTCCAAAACAAACCTTTTATTTTATATTCCAGGTATATTAAATGGTAACTAATATAACCAGCATTAACTACTCAGACTTGTATGCTAAGATCTTTCTCTTGTAATTGTCTAAAGCATTTGAGCAAAACCAGGGAATCCATCTCACCCCATCGCCTCGTCGCAGGTGAACCACCACCTCCCTGCTTGCTGCTTCGCGCACGGCAGCGCTGTCTAGGGTCCACATCTGTGAGGACAACGTTCGTAGCCTCTGTCCCAAACTGCCAGCATGATGGAGACCAAGCACGCGAACACACACTTTGTTTTTCATGGTTAGAACGGTGGAACGTGTGTTTCCCTGTGTTTTGGAAAAGGTGTAATACAAGGTACAACACATGTAATATTTTCCGGGTGCGGTGAGAGTATAAACACTCCCCGGTGCCTTATACGTGCGTCTGTTCCTCTTTGCAGGTCGTCCATCGAGCATCTGCGAGAGCCGCGCAGGCTGCTCCCCGCTGTGCGCGTCAGGCCGCAGGCAGGGCCTCCGCCTCCCCTGCTGCTTATCTGGGAATCCTCTGACCTATCATAGTGAGTTTTTAATTTAAAGGACAACATTTTCGATTTCCTGTATTTTTTTTTAATCTTTTGCTTTTTATTATAAATTTCTACTGCTCTTGACTCACACCCTCTTGTATTTGTTTTGACAATTCCTTGTCTTTGCTCTGTCCCCCGAGGGCCCCTTTCCAGTCATCTCATGGAAAACTCCAGAGTTGCGCGGGCCTGGGAATGAGGCCCCGTCTTGGCATGTAGATAACACAGAGATGAAGAAGGCCCTTCTTTCATCTTGTTGGACATGAATATTAGTTTGGCCGCAAGTTCTTTTTGCATCATTTTCGGGGAAGGTATGAGAGTGCGGGGTACGTGGCGCTGGGGGCAGGCATCTCGTCACTGATGCGTTTCTAGACACAATGGCTGGAGGGGGAGCTTCTCGATAGAGTCCCTGCGAGGTAGCCCCAGACGCAGGGTGGTCTCTTTCTGGAAGCCATAGCTGGACAGAGTGCTGCCAACTCCAGCTGCTGGCTGGCAAAAATCAGATGCCCTGGTCTTTGGGGTGCCTTCCTTGTGCTGCATTAGTGCTTTGACAACGCGGAGTGTCGTGTGGTTGGGTTGACTGCCGGGTGCTCACAAAGATCTGTGTGAGCAAATGCTGCAGCTGCCGTGGGACCCCTGCAGGGAAGAGAAAGGGGGGCAGGCACATCCGAACATTCTCAACATTGGTGTGGTGAAATATTTTTATGAAGTTTCTTTAGAATGAAATGTATTCTTTGTTGAATTTGGAGACGTTTTTACAATGTAATTTTTCTAACATTTCGAAAATTTGGTTTACAACTTCATCTTGATTAGGAGCTTCCCGCGTGGTCCTGGGTGTGTGTGTGCATGTGCATGTGTGTGAGCAGGTGTATGCACACGTGCATGTGTGCGTGCGCGTGTGTCTGTGTGCATGAGATGACTCTTTTAACCTTTTTCTAGGCTCAGACTTCCCTCCTCCCACCCGCTATTTCCAGGTCAGCATCAGGCCACTGCTGACTCCGTTGACTGGGGACTAAGCCAGCGGAGACATGAGCAGTCGGTGTCCAGGTCAGCGGCGACTTGGCATGGATTCTGGTTGCTTGGCTACTTCTTCCTCTTGGGAAGTATCTGGATAAACTTGATTCCTGGCTCTTGAAGCAGGAAGTGACTGCAACTTTATTTCTCTTCTGTTTAAATTTGGGGAAGTTGGAAGGTATGCAGAGGTTTTTGCTAGGAGTCTTCTAATCCACCGATACCTGAAGTTTCTAGGTGTGGGTGTTTTTGTGTTTTTACTACTTTGGTGTCACAGAGCTTCTTAGATGCACTTATTAATTTTTTTTCAGAGACTCTCACTCTGTCACCCAGGCTGGAGTGCAGTGCAGTGCTGCAATCACAGATCGCTGTAACCTCAAAATCCTGGGCTCAAGCGATCCTCCTGCCTCAGCCTCCCGGGTAGCTGGGACTACAGGTGTACGTCACCATGCCCGGCTAATTATTTTTTTAGAAATGGGGTCTTGTTATGTTGCCTAGGCTAGTCTCAAACTCCTAGGCTCAAGAGATCCCCCCACCTTAGCCTTCCAAAGCTCTGGGATGACAGGCATGAGCCACTGTACCCAGGTAAATGTGGGTGGCCTTTATTTTTTTCAAAACTTTTTTTGCCCCCTGCCCCGGCCTTCTATTACACATTGCCCCATAGGTATCTAAGGCTCTGTTTATTCTTCTTTAATCTTTCTTCATTCTGCTTTTTTTTAACTTAGATTATTTTTCTTGATCTGTCTTAAAGTGTGCTGATTCACTCTCCTGCCATCTCAAATCTTTGTTGACACCCTCGGATGATTTCTTTATCGTATTCTTTAACTACAGAATTTCCATTTAGTATTTTTTCCTTAACACATTGACTGCCACACCAGAAAAAAATTGTTTCCCCTGGGACCACAGTGTTTTATTAAAACAAAGCAATCCTTTCTAATTTGTTATTTTTTATTGTTTTCTGTGAGTGAGTTATATGCAACACAATCCAAGATTTTAGAATTAAATTGTCAGTATTAATTATAATAGTAAGAACATCAACAAGTAAGATGTTTAGGAACCAACTTCAGGGTTTTGTTTCATGAGACCCCGGGCTCAAAACTAGCCTGAGTTAAATACAACCCATGTGGCAGTCAATGTGTTAATACACTCATAATTTCTGTAGTCTTACTGAGAATCTGTTTATTGATTGATTTTCTCTCAGTTATTTAAATACTGTTTCTGTTAGTTTTTTGAACGTAATTTTAATAGCTGCTTTGAAGTCTATGCCAAATAAAAAACATCAAGGGACACTTAGTTTCCATGTACCAGTATTTTTATTAACAACGTTATTGAGATATAATTTACATGCCATAAAATTCACACATTTAAAGTGCATAATTCAATAGTTTTTAGTATGTGTGTGTGTGCATGTGTGTGTGTGTATGTGTGTGTGTATATATATATATGTATGTATATATAATGATGTGGTTTGAATTGTATACCCCAAAATTTATAAGTTGAAGTACTAACCCTCAATACCTCAGAAAGTAATGTTATTTAGAGATAGAGTCTTTACAGAGGTAATCAATTTAAAATAAAGTTATTAGCATGGGCCTCAATCTAATAAGACTGGTGTCCATCAGGGGAAAATTGAAAACAAATATGTAGGGAGATTACCAGGTGCATATGAGGCAAAGATCAGGGCGATGCCTCTACGAGCCAAGGAACCCCAAAGATTGGCAGCAAACCAAGAAAGCAAGGTGGAGGCGTGGGACAGCTGCTCAGCCCTCAGAAGGAAGCAAGTCTGCCCACACTCGTCCTCAGACTCCTAGCCTCCCACACTGGGGTACAAAACAATTTCCATTGCTTAAGCCGCCCAGCGTGTGACATCTGTGTGGCAGTCCGCACAGACCTGCACGTGCAGGCATGGGCAGGAGTCACCACAGTCGGTTCTTGATCATCTTCATCATATAAAAAGAATCCCTGCACCCTTTTCTATCAGCCCTTATTTCCTCCCTCCTCCCTCCCAGCCCCAAGAAACCACTAACCTACATTTTACCTATGTGGGACATTCATATAAACGGAATCACGCAATAGGCTGCTTTTGTGAGGGGCGTGCTGTGTCCAAGCCCAGCCACGTGGCAGCGTGTGTCAGAACTGCGTTCCTGTGGGTGGGCAATAGTCTCCTGCATGGACAGGCCACATTTGTTTCTCCATTCATCAGCTGGTGGATATTCGAGTTGTTTCTACCTTTTTGCTAGTAAGAATAATGATGTTATAGTTACACATGTATGAATTTTTGTGCAAACATGTTTTCATTTCTCTTGGGTACATTCCTGAGAGGGGAATTGCAGTTTCATATGTCAAATCGCTTTTTAACCATTAGAGGATATTTCAGACTGTTTTCCAAAGTGGCTGCATCATTTTACATTTTCACCAGCAGTACATAAGGGCTCTGATTACTGCATATACTCACCGACACTTGTTATTTGACTTTTTAATTCTAGCTATCCTAGTGGATTTGAAGTAGTATCTTATTGTGGTTTTGATATGCATTTCCCTAAATGACTACTGATTATTAACATCGTTTTATGTGCTCATTATTCATTTTTTTCCCTTTGGAGAAACACCTATCTATATCCTTTGTCCTTTGATTAATTGCAAGATTTGTCTTTTATTATTGAGTTATATTAGTTTTTTTTAAATTCTAGGTACAAGTCCCGTATCAGATATATGTTTAGCAATTATTTTCTCCCATTCTGTGGGCTATCTTTTCACTTTTTTAAATTTAGAAATATTTAATTCTGAAAGAAAGATTGCATATTTTCAAGGTATACACTATGATCATCATTACACACTATATGTGTGTAATGATTACACAAAGTAATTATCACACCCATCACCACCGATACTGTACATGAGCCTCTCAGAGCTTGTTACTCTTATACCTGAAAATCTGTGCTGTTGGACCAGCATCGTCCCATTTCTCTCACTCCCCGGCCCCTAGCAACTACCATTCCACTCTCTGATGCCGTGAGTTCAACTTTTAGATTCCACATATAATGAGCTCATATGGCATGTGTCTTTCTGTGTCCACCTTATTTCACTAGCTTAATGTCCTTTAGGTTCATCCATGTTGCTGCAAATGGCAGGGTTTCCTTTTTTATGGATGAATAATATTTCTTTGCATATACGTACCACATTTTCTTTATCCATTCATCAGTTGAACAGTTAGGTTGTTCCCATATCTTGGCTGTTGTGAATAGTGCTGTAACGAACATGGGGATACAGATATCTCTTCAGGATTGTCATTTCATTTCCTTTGCATATATACCCAGAAGTGGGATTGCTGGATTGGATGGGAGTTCTATTTTTAATTAAATAAAAGTCCCCATACTGTCTTCCATAATGGCTGTACTAACATATATATCCCCACCGACAGTGTACAGGAGTTCCCTTTTGTCCACACCCTCAACAACACTTGTTATCTCTTCTCTTTTTGATAATAGCATCCTAACTGTTAAGAGGTAATATCTTGTCATGGGTGTGCTTTGCATTTCTCTAGTGATAGTGATGCTTAGCACCTTTTCATACACCTGTTGGTCACTTGTATGTCTTGTTTGGAAAAATATCTATTCAGGTCCTTTGCTTATTTTTTAATCGAGTTTCTTTCTTTCCTTTTTGCTTTTGAGTTTTGTGATTTTCTTAAACATTTTGGATATTATTTATTATTAAATATGTGTTTTGCAAATATTTTCTGCCATTCTGTAAATTGCGTTTCCACTTTGTTGTTTCCTGTGTTATGCAGAAGCTTTTAGTCTGATGCAGTCCCACTTGTTTATTTTTGCTTTTGATTCCTGTGCTTTTGGTTCATATCCGAAAAAATCATTGCCAAGACTAATATCAAGGAGCTTTTACTCTCTTTCTCATCTAGGAGTTTTATGGGTTTAGATATTATACCTTTTCATTTTCTTAATAGAGCCCTATTTCAAGCACAAA